ACCACATTCCCTAAAAGCATCTGTAGTAAGCCTGCATCAAAGCTACCAGAAGACTGCAGTCTAGTTTGATAGTTTTCTGTGATCTCAGTAAAATTTAGAAAAGTGGTAATACTTTCAGGAGAATGAATAGAAACAAGTGGGAGAAGGTATTTACAAACTTTTCAAAGTATCACACAATACATGACAAAGGAGAACAAATTATGTGATGTCAAATATTGACTGATTTTTATCTTTTGTCCATTTACTTTTTGTTTGTTTTTGTACTGGGGATCAAACTCAGGACCTTGCGCTTGTGAGGCTGGTGGCAGAATCACTGAGCCAAATCCCTGGCTTGCCCATTTACTTTTAAACTCCTAAGAACATTCAACTGAAAGCCCTCCAAAACAAAAACTCAAGTCACACCCTAAGTCCTTGTAGGATTTTTTTCATTAATTGCTGATTTTAAAAAAGTCAATTGCTAAAAGCTTCTAGGAGTCAAGGTGACAAAAACTTTAAAACTATCTTAAACAATTAGAGATACACGAAAGGTTTAGCAACACAATGTTCTTTAAAGTGGTTTATTAGTGAAAAACTGGAAACCTGAAAATTCAACAGTAGTTTAATAAAAGGTGGCACATACGATGAAATGTCATGCAGCCATTAGAAAAGATGCAAAGTACATATGACACGGCAAGATAGTCATGGTACTGCTGAGTGAAAAAGTTACAAAACAGCACGTACAATTTGATCCCATTTAAAAAAATGTATAACACATAGAAGAGTCTGGAAGACCATACAGCTAAATAACAGTGGTTTTCCCTGGAGAGTGAAATTGTAGGCGATTTTTTAAACTATTTTTTTAACCAACATGGCTATGACTTATACTATAAAAGAAGCATTGATAATTCTTAACAAGAATAAACACATAGCTCAGCAACCTGAGGTACAGGGATGTACATGTTAGTCAAATACTGCTCTAACAGTTGTCAGGGTGTTTGGATATGAGTCATGAATTAAAAGGCACTGCATTGAGTAGAAACGTGCGTAGTGGTTGTGCATATCTTTCTTAGACCTGAAGGATCCATATTCCTAGACTCCTTCCATAGCAGCCTGGATCCTAAGCAGTATCCTCCACTGACACTAAACATTCCCTTATACCTTCATACTCCCTTGTAGGAAGAGAGCAGTAAGGTTCCTCTACCTTTGAGAGTAATGGTGTAAGAGTTATGTAAGGCAGGAATATTTCAAGTGAAGTCAGACAGCAGGCTTGAAGGTGAAAGTTCTGTTAGCTCTGCAGTGGTTCTCAGACTTTAGAATGCTGCACAGGCACTCAAATGTTTTTTTACAACATATTGCCACAAAGCTGCATTCAGTAGGTCCAGGGAAAGGCTTAGGAATTTGCATTCTTTTCTTCTATCCAACAAGTATTTACTGAGTAGATATCATGAGCTAGGTCTTGCACTAAGATTTGGGAATTTGCAATTCAAAGAATTATAGCCTGTATCTCAGGAAGTCTACATTCTAAAGTGACAGATATTACTAAACAAATAAATTATTAAAATAATTACAATTGTTAGAACATAGTAAACATTTTTGTCTAAACACTTAAAAAGCTGTCACATGAATAACAAAGTCTAGTTCCAGAGGCCCCTGAAGGAAAAAGCTAAGTACAAGTAAAGAATAATACTGGAAAATACTAATCAGCATTTTTCACAACTTTCCAGGTAATGTAGTTATCACTGGTCTGGAGTTTCAAACTATCACAACCACTGCTCTACTGAGATTTTTCCAATTAGGATGATGTGGGAGGGGACAGGTGTGGTTGAGGAATTTCTTCTCTACCTTTAGCGTCTCACCATGAGGTAGGAGCCTTGATCATCCAGAGAAGGGGTTGAAGAAAAACTGGCTGTGAGACCATTTCTCCATTACAGCTCCTCACTCAGACCTGAAGGGAAACTAGAGCAATATATTCCAGAATTTCAGGGATCCTGGAGAAAAGGAAGGGGATTTTTCAGGAATCCTGTTAACAAACTATAGAAGCAAGTTGGGTCTCCTTGGATTAACAAAGCTTTTTTTTTTGTCTTGACCTTCACCATCCTCTCTACTCTACAGTTTATCTTAGAAATTTCCTCCCAACAATAGCTTCCTTTTTGGATGAAGGTTAACAACAGACTAGGGGAATGGGCTGTAATCCACTGAGGATCTTGACCTCAGATTTCTTGTTTCCTGTTTGTTCAAACTGAGGCACATTCTCATTTTAGCGACCTCATATCCTGCAGTACGAATTTTTTGATTAGCACCATAAAAATTTTCTAAAACTATGACCTTCTAGGTGAGACTAAGGATAAACATAAATCCAATCCAATCACTTTTTGTTGATAAAAGAACCTACAAATATTTCTAAGTTTATTATTTTATTCATGTGAGCATGCTTCAATGTTACTATACTTTTGGATGAAGCTCAGGGACATGGGATTGAAATAATTCTGAATTGCACCATAAATTAATAGGCTTCCCAAAGGTTTTCTTCCATGCCTAAGAATTTTTTTGACCATTACCTGAGTAAAAACTAAACCCATGACTTTAAAATGAGCTAAAACCAAAATAAAATGACCACCACTACCCTACCCAACCAAACAAAACCCTATTAAAGTAAGAACAAACCTACACATTACGGTGGATTTGTGGAAGACAAAGGCACAAGAAGCCTTTGAACCTATGAACAATATAGTACCCTGATAATGTATAGAAGCCTTCAATAATTAACATTCACCTGATGGAGAGCAGAAGGTTCTGATAAAGGTTTTCACACCGTGGTGAGGTTAAACTCAGATCTGGGTCTGATTTAAAGACAGAGAATGGGATAGGGAGTGAGCAAACTATGGCTGCATAAGAGGCCTCTTTTGTACACAACTGTGAACAAGGGCACAGCCTGGGTAGGTCCAGGCTAACAAGGGGAGACTGGTATTTACAGAATGTGTTTACTGTACGCCAAGATTTTCCCTAAAAAGCACCTACAATAACATTTGCTGTATTATCCCACAGCAACCCACAATGGTACAGTTATCTGCATCTTATGACAAGGAATGGCCATCATTGGTATGGTAACGTCTGAGCTGAAGATCAAGAGTATGTGAGGATGGTTGGATATGAAACCAGGGCCAGTTTACTCCAATATTCACACTCTTTTCCCTTTCTTATTCTACTTCCCATAAACCTAATTTAAAGTTGCTATTTAAGTTGGACCTGAATTTCTGTTATGTTTCAAAGCCTAAATCTGGACTTACATAGTAGCTGGTATTCTAGACTGTAAAACATAATTTGAGGGCACAAAGAGCTTTACTCACTTTGTTCTACCAAAAACCAACCAGTGAGGGCAGCTTTTGGGATTCTGTTAAGTGTGGCAATTTATATGGTATCAAAGCATCCCATACAACTATAAAATTCAGAGGGCTGTCGTATAAGCACAGATATAAAGGGTAACAATTCTAGTTAAAGTTTGGACAATGAGCTAAAATTACTAACAGGTTTACCAAGCTCTTATTAGTAGATCTTAACAAAAAGGAATATTTAGGGCTGGGGATTTAGCTCAGGGGTTCCACTGCCTGCCTTGCAAGCTCAAGGACCCAAGTTCAATCCCCAGTACCAAAGAAGAAAGAAGAAAGAGATGATTTAAAAATATTTAAATATTTTTTTAAAATATCAAAAAATAATTCTGATAGATTTAACATTCCCTGAAAAAAAAAAAGAAATATACTTTGTACTCTATACTTCAGTCAGACTGGACTACTGATGCATTTGCCTTCTAGGCTGGACACATCTTTTTCCTTCTACCCGTAACACTTCCATCCCAAACCATTCTCACTCTGCTGAGTTAGAGGATACCTGAACATAGTGCCTTTTTTTTTTTTCCTTCATAACACTAACTCTGTTAAAGGACAACTGCTTTATTTTCTGCATCCTCTACTGGTCTTTAAGTTCTATGTGGGCAAGGACTATGTGCCTCTTGTTCATGGTATCATTAACAGGTGATCAACACAGTCTCTGACTCTCAACAGATATATGTTGACTTAATGAGAACAGAAGTCCTAAAAAAAAACCAAAAATCTATCAATCTGCTGACTCACAGCACTGGCCCAAATAGCAATTTTCTAGCTTCAAATCTATTACTAATAATACTGTGTGCTTCATAAGAGATCCTGATAACCTACATCCATTAATAAATTTTCAAAGCTTTATTAAGCCCAGAGTAACCAAGTTTGTATGTAATTTATAATGCAGTTCCCATAATTCATTATTCAATAATAAGCCCTCATTACTGTACTGCAGTATGTTCTTTTTTGTTGTTGGTACTGGGGATCAAATTCAGGTTCTTGAGCTTGCAAGGCAGGTGATGGAACCACTGAGCTAAATGCCTACCTACAGTATGCTCTTAATGAATCAAAATCTGATTATGTATGAAATTGTGGCTATCTTAATGAACTGAATTTGTTCTAGATGTAGAATCTGAAATACAATTGTATCAGGGAAATACAGCAGTGCTTTTCAAGGGCTAGTTATTTCTTAAATTAAAAAAAATTCAGTAGTGTTTAAAAAAGAAAACAGCCGAGCATGGTAACGCATGCCTATCATTCCAGCACTTGAGGCAGGAGGATTGCCAAGAGTTCGAGGCCAGCTTGGGCTACACAGTGAGTTCAATGACAGCCTGAACTAAATAAGGAGAGCCTGTCTCAAAAATTAAAAGTTAAAAAAAAAGAAAAAGACAAAAACAAAAAAATAACCCATCAAAACACAGTATTAAAGTCATGTGATTTCTGTTGGACAACGTAAATTGGTATAACTGCATTTCTGTTCATGGATGCATTAAAAAACATTTTATTTTTCACCAAGGAGATTTATATCCTACAATTCTTTTTTAAACCAAATGCTGAAATCAAATTTTAACTTTATTCTTTGGCTATTAATAATACCTAATAAATGAGTCACTGATAGCAATTCACAATAAATTTATTTTACATAAAAGAAAAAACTTGTAGTTAGTGAAAAATTCAGTAGAAAACAGTTCTTCTGCTTTAAGTTGGGGCTCAAAAGTAGAAGCAGCTTATTAGTGAAATCTCAGTAGAAAGAGAATTTTATAAGAAAACATTCTTGGCATGAAAGCGCTAACAAACTCTTAATGAAATATTTACCATGCAACTTTATTGTCAGAAGGGCTGGTCTCTGATGGCTGGGATTTTGTTTTTGTTTTCCAGTCTCTTAAGACATTACCATGGAAGATACTTAAACCTGCTTTATTTAGTTATTTATATATAAATACGATGTCATGATGAGTAGGTTTTTCATAGTCCACCTATTTAATTGAGCAGTTCTAAGTAGGTAATTGGCACTTTGCCCTTCTGATTTCCCCTTTCCCCCATTAGCCAGTCTGAATCCATGCCAACGACGCTGAACACAGTGATCACCTACAAAGTAAGATATTTCAAGTTATTAATTATAGTAAAAGACAAACACAGCAAACAAACCAGATATATATGAAATTTGTTTAAACTATTCATTGTCAAAGGACTTTAAACATTATCAGGAGGTAAGCTTGGCAAGTTATTTAGTAGGTGAAAGTTTAAAATATTTCTATGATGTTGAATTAAATAATTAGCATTTTATAAAATATCAATATAGCCATCTGAAATCCATAAAATATTCATGGTATACTTCCTCCATAAGCAATGAGGAATCTGCTTCTTGCTGTGCTATTAGAAGATGGGTCAACTGATGACATATTTCTCTTCTCGCACCCACATCACTTACCTCATCTGCCAGAAGGGACAACTCCGTACTGTTTGCGGCATCATAGTCATAGAGAACCCTGGCCCTCCTGCTGCCACTTGATTCCTTAAGGTCAGTGACGTTGGAAGGAGGAGTGATTCCTAGGCCACTGGTTGAAGCCATGGCAGAAGAACCAACTGCATTTGATAAAGTCGATGGCACTGGAGTCCCAGAAGTCTGGTTGTTGTTAGAAAGATAATTGGATGGAAAACTGGTGAAAAGAAAACAAGTCTATTAGCTATTTCCAAATTATTATAGTTCCTCAGTACCACCACTTGGTGGCACTATTTACCTTCTTCCAATTTCCGCATTGGAAGATTAACAGATGCTAACAATTTATTAATACCTTAGTGACAGAGTGTGTTGTGTAGCTTCTTCTTTCCTCTTGGCCCAATTATACTAGAGACAATTCTGCTGCTATTCAAATATAAACACTTGAAAATCTGTTTTAAAGCTGTCCTTTTATAATACTGACTTAAATTTTTAAAAACTTAATGGTGTTCCCTAGCAGAAAAAATGGATAGTTTGTGCCAAAAACTTCTATTAGCATGTCTAATTAATTTATTTTTATTTTTAATAAAAATTTAAACAAAAATACCACTGAAAAACTACTTAAATATTAGACACCAACATAAGAACAAAGCTTTACAATGAAAATAGTTTGAATATCTGAACTCTTCTCATAAAACTGATCACATTTTTCTGTCCATTCAAATGACAAATATTTACTGATTATGTACAAGTGTAGCACTAATACTGCATACTGAAGACAGATAAAATGATATCATTCACAGTTTAAGTGAGGAGGCTGACATTCATATGTTATGAGTGTTATTCATAGTCTCAGTGGGACAAAAAGGCAAATTTCAAAAGTTCACTTTATATTTTTTAGGGAAAATAAGTTTTTTATTAAAATGCTTATAAACAATGTGAAGATAATGAAGATAACTGTCAATTTATTTTAAGCTATTAGTTTCCCAGTACTAAATGGGAAACCGATGGCCTATAATCACTAATTCAGCTATTTCTAACGTCAGAAATTATCTATGAAAATTCATATTTAAGGCACTTTTATTTTCTTGTATGGTGTTGGGGACTGAACCCAGGGCCCCTCCTCTGGCATTCCCCACAACTCTGTTTTTCAGTTTCTCAAACCAAAAATTTACACTTCTTGCACTGTTCTTAACTCCTCTAAATTTGATGTACACACAGATTATTAGCAAATTCCTGCTAAAAATGTACCTAGGAACTGATGACTTCCAGGATGACTGCCACAATCGCCCTACATTCAAGCCCCCATCATCTTGACTGGATTGCTGATTAAATTACTGCAAGTCTTTCAGCTTCCAGCCACGCTAGTATCTATTCTCAACGTAAGAGCCAGGATGATCCTGTGAGAGCCTGAACTAAAATAGTGTCATTCTTCAGTTTAAAACTGTCCATAGGAAATGTATGCATCTTGAGATCATAATGTTAAATAAATCAGGTATACAAGCTTACATATCTCATGGTTTCTCTTAAATGAGAAACCCAAAGTAAAGAAAATAAAAGATAATAGGAAGTTGGTAGCACTTTCCTCAAAGGGGAAGGCAATCAAGAGGTGAAGGGTGAGGGGAAGGATGGACAAGAGATGATAAACGGAATTAAGATGTGTCACGTACACAGACCAACTCCACACAGGTATGTCTGCATTACGTGCCAAAAAATAAAAAAGGAAGGGGACCAAGAGACTGGAGGAGGTGGAGAAGAAGAGGGGAAGGGAAAAGGGATGAAAAAAGGAATTGAGATGTATTATGTATACGTATCAACTTCCCACAAGGAATGTAAAAATTATGTACTATACAATTTACTAATAAAAATAAATTAAAAAATTAAATTGTCCAACGGCTCATCTTTGAGACAAGTCCAAAGTTTAGACAGTAGCTTCCAACACCCTCCATACGTTCTGGCTGTTTCTTCTATCTATCTCCAGCGAAGTCCTCCTTGCTGTTCCTTGAACACGCCAGCTAAGTTTCTGGCATGTAGCCTCTGCTGGAGTACTTTCTCTCAGACACCTGCATGTTCGCTTTCTTGTATCTTTCTCTGCTCTACAACTCATTTTTAAGATCCAAAATTGGATTTGCCAATGATTTTGTTCTAGGTCTAGTTCTAAAAGATTACTATGAATAAAACATCACCAAAGTGACCTTTTAAATCTCTCTCTTTTTTTGGGGGGGTGCCGGGGATTGAACTTGGGTCCTTGTGCTTGCAAGGCAGGCCACCGACCCGCTGAGCTAAATCCCTGGACCCCTAAATATCTCATTTTTTGAAACAACTTGACATTCTTTCAAATGGCAGTTATCACTCCTCTGTTTTAATCATTATACAAATTCTAAACTGCTTGCCACAGCTGACTTTTAAGGCCATTCATAGCATGACCCCTCTTACGCCTCTAGTATTCCATTCTTACCTTCACCATTATGCTCTAAACAAGAACTACTGTCAGTTTCCCGAATCTGCCACTCTCTTTCCTCCAGTGTTTTTACAAAAATGTTTTAAATTTGCTTGGAATATTCAGCCTGCCCTTTTCTTATCCAGCTATGCCTTGTATCCCTACCTAGACTTAAAAATCGTGAAAGTGGAGACCGTATTTGCTCTATACATTATTTCTAGTATTGCCTTACAATGTGAACTCAGAGATAAGCATTTTGCCTGTTTTGTTTGCTGATGTAACTCCAGAATATAAAGTGTTAGGTATGTTGCAGATATGCTACAAATATTTGATAAATGACTGAGCTATGTGCTTTATATACTGTCATTTTGCTTTAAAGTATATTATCAAAGTCAGAATAATCCGTGTCAGTGGACTTACACTCTTACAGCATAGTCCAAAACTTCTTTTCCTCTTTAATGAGTAAGTACAGTTGCACCTCAGTTCACAAACTTGATTATTTCCCTGCTGCTGGTCACAAAATGAGTTGGGTGAGAACTGAATCAAATTTAATGGTTAGGTTGAACTTAAATGTGATCCAGTTCTGATCCAGTTCCATTTGCGACCAGAATCATGGAGAGAATCAAGTTTGTGAATGAAGGTACCACTGTAATTAACTTATGTATATAAAACAGTTTATCTTTAAGGGCAACTATGTGTTGACCAATAATAAAAAAGTATGCAGCAGCAAAGAAAAGTAAAACCTCACTAAAAGCTTTATGTCACTAAAAAGGTATTCACTTATCTTCTTCTCCCTGTTAATATCCTTCTGAGCCAGAAAAGCTCAAAATGTTTTGTTATCTCAGAAGTTTTATGCTTCCATTAAAAAAACAAAAACAAAAACAAAAAACTTCAATTCTATGCAAGCTCAAAGGCTCCAATTCTTAATCATCCTCGCTAATAGTCTATATGCAAAAATCTGAATTTATTTCTTCTCTTATCCAAGACTTCAACATGTGAAAAGGAAACTACTACCTTCCCAGTTGTTTCTGGAGGTCTAGCATGTATTGGTAACACTGTGCATAATAAGTCATCTGGGCTTCTACAAAGTCATTCAGACAGCGAAGATGATGAGCCTGTAAAGCAAAGTTATAGTCAGCTCTTAACTCAAAGTGGTAAATACTAAGAGGGGACAAAGTACAACATTGTAATAAAGGAGAATCATGTATCTAGCATCTTACTAAAAGGTTTAAGACTGACCTTGGTGAACAGTATAACAATAAACTTTGTTTAGCTAATGAATGCCAACAAAAGTATCTGATGAGGGTGGGAGAAGTAGGTGATGAGATATAAGCAAAAATTTGAAATATTTCTTCACTTATCTTTAGCACCACAATTTAAATTTCCTTAATAAAATGACTGAAAAGGAAGTTCAGTCTTTACTCCAAGTTGTCTTAGAATGATCAGATGTCTTGTTCTAGATGAATTTTTGATGAACACTCACGTGTGTACTGCTGATTCCCTCTAGCAGAAGTCTGGTTATCTCAGCCTGACGATCAAACTCACTTTGAGTTATTCTTAATTCCTGTTCAGACTTAAATTAGGACACAGTTTTAGAATCTCATCAGAAGACTTAGCCCATTTTATACAAGTTCTTAAAAAAAAAAATCCCTCAAAAAAATCCCAAATTATAATCTGGCAATTTCCCAATTCTGCTTTTGTGACATCTAAACTGGTTCCTGGATTTTAGGCCACAACTTTTCTGTATTATTCAACCTCAACAAAAATGATTCCTCACTAGCACTTCATTCAGAATTTAATGCCAAAACTTAATGACATACTCAGGAACCTAGAAACCTACTATGGACAGTTAGGTTATTCTAGCTTCAATTCTGCCAAGTTTAATATTTTACAAAATCTGAAGAGCACCACAGTTTCACAGATATAATATTCTTTAAAATTCTCAACTATTACTAAGTTTTTAAACAAGAATCTTCAATTTCAAATACAAAGACTTTGGAGTGAAACAATAGGATTTCTACTTGTTTAGTTACCAAACACTTATTAGGAACCATTCTTGGTTTCCTACAAATATTTCTTTGCCCTCCATTTTACATGTCTTTCTTTTAAATTTTTTCTCTAAACTACACATACAACAGGCCTTAAGCAGAAATACTGTTACATTGAGGAAAATAATTTTTCTTAAAATTTATGATTGACTTTTAGTCAGTGTTACACTAATCAACTGATTTTCAAAGAAAAAGAAAAAGCTCTAACATCCTGATTTGCACGATAAAATACTACCGCCATGGCTAATTTCAGGTTGCCAATGTCAAGTCACTGACTTTGGAGTTAGGTGGGAAGAGATGTATATAATGATTCCACTAATGGTTTCAAACATCTGATACATTTAAAGCTGGGACAAAACTGTTCAGTGAAAAATTAACAAGCTCTAAAAATAATAAATACTGGCATAAAACATCTTAAAACTTTTAATCACAACTTGCTGGTAATAAAGTGGAGAGGGAAAAATAAAACTTCACTCACAGCGCATTCTAAATAATTAACTCCCTTCAATCATCTTTGGTAACAATGCCATTATTATATTTTTTACTCCCTCTCTAGCATATGTAGCTTTCCCTCCTATGTAAATATTATTTACATTTTCAAGATGCAGTTAAGTATGAACAAGGTCAGAATTTTAACATGAAATGAAATTTCGTGCCTTCTCTCTACTTCCTTCATCCCTGGATGACAATAACTAACCTATGGTCAGTCAAGAAAGACGCAGCACAGAGTAGATAGTTGCTATAATATCCCAATAGCAACAGACCTGGAAAAGGGGACTAAGAACTGACCACTAGATTGAATTTATGAGCATGAGCTTGAATTTTCAATAAAAAAAGCAGTGAAGTTAAATGTGAGTAAAGCAATACCTTAGCAAGCTAAAGTCAGCTTCTCTAGAAGCTAGTATGAAGCAGAAAAAAAGTGCCAGGAGAAGAAAAGAATGTTCTTCCCAAGGAAAGCATCAAGAAAATCAATCACTTCAGGGTTACCTTTGTAATATTCACTCTTCTATGTGGATGAATACAAAATGACTTTAATAGAAGAAATTGCAGTAAACCAAAATAAGTGAGCTTAATAAATAAATTAGGCTAGTTCCATGTGGGTCTTTATAAAGTACCATTCAATTTAATGGCTGTAGAAATGGAAAAAACTACTATAATGGCAATATTTCTTAACAAGATGTGAAAGACTAAGTAGACAGGTTGAAGAGAACAGGAAGCTTGAGACTGAAGTGCAAATAAGGTTTTAATGCTAAAAAATACTAAATAAAAATAATCTCAATAAGGACAAGGAATCAGCCATCTAGGTTTGAATAAAATTTAATATTTATTTGTGAAGATAGGCACCACAGAACTTATCAAGCCAGTCTTCTATACAATCTAGACTTTTTATTTAGACAAAATAAATGACAGGAAAGGAATGATTCTCACTGAACAAATTTCAGTAGATGTTTGGGGGTGGATGTAAACAGTTGAATGTCCCAAACCAATCCACATTTCTGACACATGTAGCTGAGTATAATTAATCTGAGAAGCTAAGGAAATTTAAGTTAAGTTCATCAAAATCAGCTCAAACAGGAACAAAGTAATCTATATTGGAAAGATAGATGAGAAAGACTTCTTTACTGTTTATGGTGCTGGTGATCAAGCCCAGGACCAGGCAATTGCTCTGCCACTGAGCTACAGCTCCTAGCCCTGAGAAAGATACAAAGGCAATGAATTTAAACAGCTGATATTCTGTTCTGGAATATCTTATTCTGATTTAATTTTATAAGTAAAAGTGTAGAGTTCTAGGGAAAACAGCCACTAAGAATTACTGTTACTAGACTAGTTGATTTAGACTGGATAATAGTATAACATTACATAAGGAGAAAGAGTTCTTTTAAGGTATAACTTGGGCGGGGGGCGAGAGGATTTAGCTCAGCAGCACCCTTGGAAGCACAAGGTCCTGAGTTCCATCCTAGTACCAAAACAAAAAAACAAAAAACAAAAAAAAAAAACCACAAAACAAACAAGTAACTTTAACAGGATTGGATATTTATAAGAAGTACAATTTGTTGGTCTATAATAACAGGATTGGATATTTATAAGAAGTTCTGGTCACACTTCTGAAGCACTTGCTGTACAATCTTGGCTGGTGTTAATTACCTTTTTATAGGCTTAAATCTTATAATATTTCAGGAATGTGAAATTTTAAAGTTTATATATTATAAAAATGAAAGGAGTATTTAAAAATCTCTTCAAATCCATTTTGATGTATTTCCCTAATGTTTTATATATATATATCTATACAATATAAACATTTGTTTCATTATTTTCTTCCCATTTATTATATCGATTATTTCTCAAATTGTAGAAGGTGCAAATCAAGTAAAAAACTTTTTGGTGTCCATGTATGTTAACCAAAGGGAAGACATCTGGTTTTCTTGTTCAAATTATATTTTCTCCCATATTGTTCTTGCCCTTTTTTTCATGCTAGTTCTGGAAGAAATCAGAAGCCAGGGTGGAACCATATAATAAGCTAATGAAAGAAAATATTCCAGAGGGGGATGAGAGCCTAAATCAAGAATTATACCAGATTTATGAGTTGTAGAATCAATAGCTCAGTATACTGTGCATGAAACAGTCTGCATAATCAGCATCTCACAATGCCAGAAAATAGTTAATGTCTGTGTGAGGCTATTAAAGCCCCCTGGCCATAATTAGCACCTGTCTTCACTCTCCAAAATCATCCTCATGTGGACGTCAGGTTTTGGTAGACCTTAGGATTGGAGAATAAATGAAAAACACTTCTGAACTCCTAAAAGCATTTCAAATAAATCTGCACTGAAGTTAAAATAGTTTTATTCCTTAAATTCTTGCTTTATTACTTTATTTTCAAGCCCAGAGATGATTAGAAATGGTAACACAAGTAGAGGAACTGCTAGCAGTCTGACATAGAGGGAAAAAGACAAAAACAATGAATCCAATTGCTACATGTTCATTGTCTTTACAATTGGATATTCATAATAATGACCTTAACTATAAAATGAAATACTTGCTATCCTGTGTTTAATACAGCAGTAAAGTACATTTTTATAGACATTTTCTGCTAAAGTAACAAAATAGCTTTGGTGGTAGAGAGAAATTCTGGTTACCTAATGTTGACTATATAAAATATCTGCCATTTAAAAAATTATCAATGAATAAATCACGTATTTCATCTGTCTTCTAGAAAGGCACTGTACAATTTTACCACCTGACTAACAGGTATCTAGGATTTATCACGATATGTGCCAATCAAATCTCTACAACATTGTGTGGAGTTGCTATTGGCCAAACAGATCTAAACATCTGTGATCTAAACATATAGTGAGCTATAAATCACCATATATTTCAGATTTTAAAGGATACTGTCACACAGACCACATGGGTTTCAAAGTTGTCACCCAACAGATTTTTACTGAATGGCAATTGAATTCTTGTTTCATAATTCTGTCATGTAATAATTTACTTACTTTTGTTACTTCCTCTGCCCAAATCTAGCCAGCATTAAAAATTAGAGAAAAATATAGAGCATGAAAGAAAGTTGGAAATTAATATTTTCTACAACTTAGCAAAGAAAAATATAGGAACTTTAATTCAAATGGCATACTCTGCTTTCTCCAAATCATATTAACAGATTAAACACAGTAGTAATTAAATCAGTGCTGCTTAACATATTGTCAAAGATGCCTTTGTATATATCAATACTATCGATTTTAAAATGTTAATTTTATAAATTAATAACAGTTTTCCCAAATTGGGAATATTTAATTTGTCATAGTTCTAGTTTTCTCATTCATAAAATGAGAGGTTTGGGCTAAATGAATTCCAATTTTTCTTTCAAGTAAAAACTCTAAAATGCTAGTAAATAAAAATAAGCCAGGACAAAAGATCACCAAATGTCACTGATAAAGCTTTTTTGGGGAAAAAAACAATAAACTTGGAATAAAATGAATTTTAAAATTACCAAAACTAGACATATCTTACTATAAGCAGAAATTAGTAGTAAAACAACACTTAGTGAAGGAAAAAAAGTCCTGCTATTTGTTTAGGATATTTTTTTATCTAACACAAAAGAAAAACTACGATTTGTATACTAAATTAGCTATGATTTACACTTTTCATTTATATACACAGGACAATGGAAATAAGTGCGTTCTTTTGCTAAGAGAACCCCTAATTTAGTCAAGGTTTCAATAATAAAAAATAAAGATTTTTCTTCTGCTTTTAGTTAAATGCTAATGGAATAAGAGTAGTCAATCAGTTGCCAATGTATTATTAACTGTACTGCAGACTTGTCACTTTTAGTGGAAGTAATGTGTCTAGGAGTACCAAATACAACCAATTTTTATCAGGTAGCATATGAACTGTCTGGTTACAACTTGATATTTCATTAAAATTAAAAACTTTAAAAGTATGTCAAAAATTTCTTCAAACTGAACTCAACATACACATTAGATATTATAACACACCTTTTATTCTCTATGTTTGCTGCAGGCTACTATCATTTGGAATTTTCCAAGAGTTAGTACTACATGTGGAATGGGTCTGGCTACTACAGAAATACCTAACTTACTGGAGTTTATCTTAGCCTGTAATGGTTAAAGAAAATAATTCTATATTGAGTTTGATTAACAAAAAAGCGAATGTTGAAGCTACTGAGAGGCAAAAACCAATTTGTGTACCTTTATCTTTCTTTAAGTAAGGTAAATGTTACTTTCCTTCACCAAAAATGAAAATCTGAAGTGCCAGCTTACCATCTTTTACTGAGTATAAAAATGTAGTAAATCTGTGATTCTAAAATCTGCATTTGGTATAATCAATACATTTGACAATTAAAATATACAACATCTTTTCTTCAAATTCCGGTGTCACTTTAGCTAGTACTTTTCCTACAAATAAATGAATTCATGGCTTCAAGAATTTTACATGCAGCTAATAGCAAGAGAAGGCACTTTATTCAAGATGTAGAAAACACAGTAGGCCAACAAACCTTCAGCCATTTTACATGCAGGAAGTTGAGCATGTAAGAGAAATTTACCATAATGTTATCTCCTTCAAGGCGAGCTGAGTTTAGTTGCTTAAATGCATAGGTAAAGACAAAGAACACATTATACCAATGAACAGAGTGAAACAGTTACTTCTACACAATAAAGCACACACTAAACAAGTATGAAAAGAGCTGATGTTTCTTATAAAGATCCAAATTTCCAAAACAAAAAATGATGTTTAATTTTAAATTAAAATCATTTAGGGAAATCTCATCACTATAAAAAGTGCCAATTAACTAAAATTTTCATTAAATTTCCACCCATGAAAGCCCTGGGACTATCCTCAATTATCCTATTCAAAGATCATTTCTTCCTGGTACATGTATGATGCCTTCAGTCATATTTAAGTGTGTTAAGGGAATATGTGCTGTGTGAAATATTTGAATAAGTATTTTCCATCAAATTTAGATGCTCCAAAAGCCATTTTCTTCCTATTAATTAAACTCTAAAATATTTTTTAAAGTTTACATTAGACTAAGATTAGGTTAATAAAGGTAAGTGCCTTATACTTGAAATACATGAATTATAGTTTTAAAATAGTATATAGATAAAAGTATTTTTATTCATTTTGACAAAATATATTTTCTGTTTATTGCTCAACTGGTATATCTTAAGAAATACCTTTTACATTGCTTTGCCATTCTTCAACATGCTAAGTTAGTATAGCAGCAATATTGGATACAAGCAGATTTTTTTACCAATTGGGCTAAATCATTAAAAAAAAGTTTCACTTACTGTACTGGATGGAAGGTAGCAAAGATTTTTTATTATTTATCTATGTTCCCCTTTTCAGCAGAGCTCCTTATATACAATTAGTACTCAAATACAGAATTTAAAAAGTGGTCATAGGAAACTAGTAAATAAAAATTTTCAAACAGTGCTGATATGCACATGTCCCAAACTTTACTAGTACAGGAATAACTAGTCATATAAAGTCAAATTCTATTCTTTAGTCTGTATCTTACATGGTGTATCACTAAAATATTTTATAAATTTTAAAGTATTGACCTAAAATATTTTTCTATCAGAAAAAAAGAAACAAAACCAAATAAGTAAAAAATTACTTACTGAACTTCTAGTTTCTGCAGCTTTTGCCTTTTTTAGTCTGGTTTTTGCAGCATCCAAATCCAGTCTCTTATTTTGTAATAGTTTCCTTTCTTTCTATAAATATAGAAAAGATAAAATGAAGGATAAAAATGCTGAAATTCATTAAGAATGTACAGCACATACTTAGCAATAAAAACAGTAATGTTAAAAAATACATTTCTAGAAATGCATAAGGAAATAAAGTATAAGTGCCAGAAATATATATCTTCTAGTAATTAGGCTTCTAGCTCCAGTTTAAATAAATGGCTACCTACTATCCTATGGTGGTATTTTGTAGCATATTTTCATAATTATTCCAGGACCTTCTGTATAGATTTGTGTTGGTAACAATTGAGAATGTCTGCAAATGTACTGCAACACAGCAGAACACAAAAATGGAATTACATTATTAAGATCTTTTATTTTTGGTCTAGTTTCATGTGCTGGTGAAAATGCACCTACATTCACAGTCATTAAAGAAGCAAAATCATTCACTAAAAACTGTAAACATAAATCTAAATTATTTTACTAAAAAGGAACATTATCCAACTCACAGCAATTGTTTTGTAATCTCCTTCAATGAAGTTTCTTAAAGGAGTAAGAAAATTTAAGGCTGATGTTTGAATGAGTTCTCTGTCAGCTGTTCCAATTCGTTTTTGTGTTTCTCCACATTTAATAAGGGCATTACCTGAAAAGAAAAAAGTTTTTGTTTTATTGTTTTAAAAAAAGTGGCTAGTAATGTCAGAAAGTTAAAAATCATTTGAAGATAATTTTCCAGTTTGATTTGCTTCAAAGTTGTCAGTTGTTTATCTCAGTAAAATTAAACAGAATTAACTGTAATTAAGGTAGATTTATTTAAGAGCAAATTCAAGATAAATATCCAAATGAAAAAGACCACATGGACTTCCTACTACATCATAGTCAATTGGCAAATCTACCAATGAGACAGACTAGAGAGGACAGATATACCAAAAATTAACACAGCTCAGAGCATTTACACTTAGAAAAATACAAAGCTTACACTATTTTAACAAGTGGATCAAGTCACAATTTGTCTTCTGTTTTCCATATGCACTTATTTCAAGTACTAAACCCATAGTTTATATATTAAGAAAACCCCATGTTTTACAACATGTATAATCTGATATTTAAGTGGGACAAGTATACTAGGCAAAGCAAAGGTAGAAAGCAGAGCAAAAAGAAAGGGAACCTCAAGATTATGTTCTACACCTGTTCTAGTTTATTAAGCTTTACCTCTCTAGATCTTAAACCTTCATATTTCAATGAGATTAGGTCTGACTGGTAAGGAAGGTAATAGCATAGTAGTTAAGAGCTTGTCTCTGGATACAGACAGATCTGAATTTGAATTTACTAGATGTGTGAACATGGATAAATTATTTAACCTCTCAAGTCTGAGTTTCCTTATCTCTTTTTTTTTTCTCATTGAGTTTATGGGTACATTTTAGGTATACAGTACAGTTACATTCATCATTGGGATCTTGTACCTTTACATGACAGGTCTTGGTTCTCATTTTTTCCCCTTATCCCTGCCCTCCCTTCACCCCCTCCTCCCTTCCCTATTTACAAATACTTTATTTCCATTTTCTCATTTTTTTTCCTTTTGCCTTATTACCTTTTCCTCCACCCTTCCCATTTCCCCTACACCTTTTGAGTTTCATTCCCTATTTAAATACTTTATTTCCATTTTCTCATTTTTTTTCCTTTTGCCTTATTACCTTTTCCTCCACCCTTCCCATTTCCCCTACACCTTTTGAGTTTCCTTATTTCTAGAATAGAGATGATAAAGTTTACATTATAAGCAAAATATAAATGACAATTTACTAAAATACATAAATATGTTTGCATACTCACACAAAATATAGTGCGTAGTTCAATGCCTGGAATACTCAATTTTAGTTATTACAATTTACTAATAATAGGTTCTCAAAGTTCAATTTCAATTATCAGGATATATTCAGGTGTAAACAGATTAAACAGATTAAGCAGATTAACAAAGAAAGACCATCTAAAAGCTTTTCTAATGTTTACATTCCAGCAGGCCTTTAGCTCTGTGAAGGAAAGGGCTAGGTCTCCTTCATAAGCCTTTATGACCTCAGCACGAACAAGCAATACAACATGTTTAATGCAAAAAGTTTTTCTGAAAGTTAACCTTTAAAAATTTTTTAATGTCAAATTTATTTTAAGCATTTTTCAGACTTCTCAGTGAATTATAATGTAAATATTTCAATGTTGTCAATCTAAAAAGCCATTTGATGGATTAATGGTATTATAGAATATTGTGGGTATTTTCTGATGTAAAGATAACTATTATTAAAACTTTAAATACATATGATCAGAATTTAGCAGCTATTTCATCAACAGGAAGTATCTGGAGAAATTCATTTAATCTACCTCGCATTTAATACTCAAACAAGAACAAATTTCCTGAAGCAGTCTGTCTTAAATAGAATTGGCCATAAACAATAGGGAAAGGAAGCTAGAGAAATCTGAAATAGTCTCACAAATAAATGAGGTCGCAATAATAAAACTGTAATTTTGAACTTCTGGGATGTATATTGGAAAAGAATAGCAACTAAGCAAAACTGAATTACATAGAAAACATGAAATATATAAAATCAAAATAGAAATGTAATTAATCCGAACATTCAGAGATAATCACTGCTAAAGTGGTATTTTTACAAAATTTTAATGAAAGTGCTAGTGATTTGTTCAAACATTCATTGTGTAAGAAGTACCTTTAGTAGAAAATAAATAGCCTTCAGGCAAGTTTTATAAAAATCACAAAGAGGAGACATACATACATAATAATTGCAATATAATACAAGAAGTATTAAAGTATTGAAAGAACAATGACAATTACAAGTAAAGAATTTTTTTAACTTTTAAGAACAAATGAAGATACAAATTCTCAATAAATATATGTTTAAATATTAAATTAAAATATACAAGTTTACTGGTCACATTTCTCAGTTCATTAAAATTTAAACATAATAAATTTAAAATTAAAACTGATGCTACTGTATGTTAATGACAACTTTAAAGAGCAAAAATCTAATGTAAAAGTACTTCTTATCAGAACTTTTTGCTTTCCACTTACCATAAGCTGTTCCTGGGCCAAACTCAGTCCCTGCATCAATCATGTACTGTCCCAAAAGTTCTGGGTTGTTTGTACGAGTTGGTGCTTTTCTATCCAGTTTCTCATAAACAAATTCTTCTATTCTGGCATCTAGGAGAAAGATTAAAATTACCAGTGACTTCAAAAGAGCAAAACTATTTAAAAGACTTCTTTGTTGCCCTGCCCTCCAGACATTTACTACTTCTTATAAGTAAAAAATATATATGAAATTAGCATTCATTCAAGTTTGTACCTTTATACTTAATTTTTAAATTTATATGTAAAAGTGTTAAGTAGGTCTAAGAAACTGATATTTTAGAAACGTGATAAACTCTCGCAGCACAGAAACATTTTAAAATAAAGCTAAATTCACATTACTTGAGTATTTTAAACGATTTTTAAATTTCAGAAAAGGATTGATAGTACTTATTCTAATCATCTAGTAAAGTTCCCTTTGCCCTAGTTTAGCATTTTAACTCTGAATATATATTCATAATTTCAAAATTAGATTTTCTGCCGAAAAAACATAGATATAAAGTATCTAAAAGAACTGAAGAGTCATATGTGACACCTTTAGCAGGAGCACTTCTTGCCAGAGAGTCTAAATATAGGTACAGAAGCTTGAGATAGATCCAGGCTTGGAGTAGTCTCCAGACAGATCAGCAATATGAAGACTTGGCTTCAGTTTACTTACGTTTATATAGGTGGCATCTCTGGCATGCATTCATTGAAAAGTTTTTACCATTACAAATAAGTTTAAAATACAAAACGATAAAGGCAATCACAGAATATTAGTATAAATGGAAAGAAAAAAAATCAATAAAAGCCAAAATACACTTGGTTAGGGTAATATATAACATGAAAGAAATTCACATTTATATTGCTGCCCAACAACAAGGTATTTGAGGGACAAATAAAAAGTAGTTCATAATTTGTTCAGAAACAATAATTAAATATAAATCAAAACTACAACCTCAAAAGTAGCTAAGTCAAATAAGGTCTTTGTAAGCACCTCACACAGATTTCTACATAATCAGAAGTTTCACACGGTACACATAAAAATTAAAACTGAGTTGAACCAGTAATAGAAACACCAGAAGTTGGTAAAATTGTCAATATAATACTTAAAAAATAATTATTTATTATAGAATGTTGGAATAATACCTACTTTTATAGCAGATCCTGGAATAAAATTAGAAGTTTCAAAGCAAAAATTTAAAAAACTGTTTAAGTTAGTTAAATGATTCTTTTCAAAACAAGGTCAAAGGTTTAAATATGAATTATAAGTTGATTTCATTATGTTAATAAGACATTTGGTATATTAATTACTGCTTTCTTTTAAAAAGTCACTTGATAGGTTATAAAATCTTAAAATAGGAAGCTCTGCTACAATACACTATACATATTTATGTGTTTATGTTAACATATTTCTGAAAAAAATTTAGCTTATGGAAAGAAAATCAAACACTAAAAGCAATAGGACTTATATGAGGAAAAAGGGCCAGTTTGACCCCTCAAAATCCATGTAACTTTATAACCATGACACAAACAACAAAAACCCTCTTATTACTTTACCCCATACAACAGGAGTATGGGGAATTGTATTATACTTGTCTATCAATCTATCATGAATGAGCTTTATGGCTAATTAGAAAAATATCCTGTAGAACAGATTCTACATGTGAAGACTTTTGGACAGAGGAAGAACAAAGGGAAAAATGTCTACTACTTTTTAGAAGTGTCATGATATATATAATTTATTTATTTTTGGTTTTTTGAGACAGAGTCCCGCTATGTATTTCAGGATGGCCTTGAACTAACTCCCTATATAGCCCAAGTTGGACTCAAACTTGCAGCAATCCCCTATCTCAGCCTCCTGAGTGCTGGAATTAAAGGCATGCACCACCATGCCCGGCTATGCTATATAATTTAAATGGCCTTAAATGAGTCAAGTTTTATTCAAGGTATGAAAGGCTTATTCAGAAGGTTACTCCAACTTAACTAAAATGGCATGTAATTAATAATATTTTACAATGATTTAAATTTATGTTAATATCTTTTTTTTTGAGACAGGGTCTCACTATGTAGTTGAGACTGACCTGGAACTCACTATGTAGCCCAGGCTGGTCTTGAACTCACAGAGATCCTCCTGCCTAAATCTCCTGAGTGCAGGGATTACAGGCGTTTGCCACCACACCTGGCTTATGTTAATATCTTTTTTTTTGAGACAGGGTCTCACTATGTAGTTGAGACTGACCTGGAACTCACTATGTAGCCCAGGCTGGTCTTGAACTCACAGAGATCCTCCTGCCTAAATCTCCTGAGTGCAGGGATTACAGGCGTTTGCCACCACACCTGGCTTATGTTAATATCTTAAAATAAGTTTATGGAATTTTGTAACATGCTCATAATAGCACTAGGGAAATGAGAAGCAACGTACGCACTGTTTGTCCTCCATTTTTAATAAACAAAGCTGATAGTGAAAAGAAGAAATGTCAATACACCTGGTTCTTGTCCAAATTCTACTTCTAATTAGCTTGTACACAATGTATAAAATGGATAAAAGGCTAATTTGTGAGTTTTATCCAATAATTATTATACATTTCATCTGCAAGGTTATTGAGAGATAACAAATCTCACAGCTGTCAGAAAACCCAAAAGCATAAAACTGAAACAAAAACTGGTAATTATTTAAGCTTCTATATTAACCTTTCTTTAATTATTTACGAACAATTTTCTCTAGATGAAAAAGAAAGATGTATTTATCTTCTCAGCCTCTCCTAACTTTTAAAATTCAAATTCACTGCCTAAAATTGAAATTTCATCAGAATCCTACAAAGGCTTGAGAAATGTTACTTGTGAATTTGTTAAGAGTACACAGAAGTATTTATTGTTTCTTTACCCAAAGCACACATACCAAAAAATACCATAGATCTTGAAGCCACAATAAAAGTCTATTTTTAACATTAAAAAACCCATTAACAGTCTTTAAGGTAGATAAGAGATAGCAAATTTCTTACTTGGATTTGGCTGCAATAATACTTCAGTTTGTTTCATTATTTTTTCTGTCCATATTTTTGTACATTCAGCTTTGCTAAGGAGGTTCTCTAAGTGAGCATCCAATTCTGTTTTCTCTGCTTGGCCAAGCTTTTCTTCTGTGAACTGCGATGATTAAAAAATACATGAAATAAATATACTTCAGATAAATGCCAGGAAACTGAATCAATAAATAAAAGGCAAACTGAAATCCAAACAATTCTAAACATAGAAATAATTGTATTCCAAGTCTATAAGCTACTGTTTATGAATTTTGGTTTTTTTGGCCCTGTGGTAATTTATCTATAACTTCTACAATAGCAGTAATGATGACTTTATCTTACAGTTATCATATAGCCTTAGTTCTTTTAAAATGCATAGTGTGAATTCTGGAGAAACTGAGAATATTATTTGGATGCAAATTATATTGATATTTCTAACATATAAAGGTAGGGCAACATAAAGATAAAGACTAAGAGCTCTGAGTCAGTTTTCACATCTGTATTCAAATACTGACCACACTGTTGAGTGATCTGAGCAAGCTTGTGAGAATTTTTTTTTTCAGTAGCCTCTATCATAAACAAGATAGTATCTTCTAGAGCTTTAAGGACTCAGACTACATACATAAATCACTGTTTAGCAGCTGCTATTATTTTAAATTTGAAAAGGGGCACTTTAACCACACCCAGGGATGTTTATGGGAAAGTATCTTTTGTTTCTTCAGGATATGTTCCAACAATTATTTACAGACTATCTTTTGTTATATATCCCATTCACACTATGAAGGTCTTTTAAGGAGCATAAGATTAATAAAACATATTCAACATATAAATTTTTATTACATTAAATGTGTTGGTATTTGAGGAATGGTAGTACTGTCCATACAATAATAAAAAGGAAAAAAATAGTGTTGATCTTTTGGAACTTCTGGATTCTTTTAATTAAACACTAGAGGCAATAATTCAGGCTGTTGTTCATGTTATTTTCCTTCAGAAAATGTAATTTCCACATTTCAATGCAGGTATATTACTAGCACTAATTCTATGCTCAGTTATGACTCATTTCAATCAGAACAAAACAACATTCGCCTTGCCTTTTTCCCCCTCTTCAAAATCTCTTCTGCTGCTCTTTTTTCTGTTTTATTATTTTTTTCTTTCAACATCATTTTTCTTAGTCTAGTACTTTCAAATGATTATTAGCACATTAGCTGAAGGTTCTTTATTCTTAGGCTTCTGGTTTTAACCCACATTGAAGGTCCTGTTCATGGTTAGAAATAACAGCTTTAATAGCTTTTGTAAAGTCTAAGGTCTTTTTTTTTTTTTTTTTTTTTT